GACTATAGTCTTAACAGGAAGCTGAAGAAGCTTTGGGTTTTTTTGCCCCTCCCTACTAGTCTGTTTCCAGAACTGAAATCACATAAGGGCTGGAACAAAATACAGGATTCTATAAATATTCTAGGATTAGTCACATCACCGTAGGTTTTATAGCTTATTTCCAGAAAGGGTTTCTCAGCTTTTACTTCCAAATTATTCAAATGAACCAGGTGAAGAACTGCAGAATCTAACATTCACAGACTGTAAAGACAGAGGAGGATGGATAACAAGTGGCTGAAATTATGTTGCCATCTACAGGCCACATACACACAACAGAAAAGGGAATTATATCAAGACAGTACAGGAGACAGAGCAAAGAAAGCTAGAGGAAAGAGGGGAGCAGATGAGGAGACAAGGACTTACCATCAGAAAGGATTTTAGCTCTATCCCCTTGACATCAAATCACTGCTATTAATTCAGCTCAACCTAATATTGTGAAATGCTACACTTCAAAATTTCCCGAATTTAGCGCTATACCACAGACCAAGAACTTCACAGAAATATCAGGTTAAGTACCTTCCATTTTGTAATTCCTGGCATCCTCTTCAAACCTGGTAGTTCAGAAGAGACGTCAGCAAGTTCTAAGGCACCTGAAATCCCAAGAATATAAACATTCTTGAAAACAGAATTTAAGAGTTGCGTTGCTAACTGACTTTTATAAAAATAGATTCCTTCAAGATTTAAGACTATTTTAAGAACACTACTTTTAAAAACTTTCAAGAAACAAAACGCTATACAATTACTATCATGTAAATTAACAAACAGGATGGTAAAAATTGTTAATAATGCTTGCAACCTATAAATTAACCAAAATATGATGGTTAGATATTTTTTATAGCAGCTGCATAAACTAATACTCTGCAATCTGTATCATTAAACAGCAGTGTTCTAGGCAATGCAGTCATTTAAGTTTTTATTCTCACTCAGCATTTGGATTTACTGCACTGATTAAGTATTTTTCAGAGAATAACTTTTGGGGTAACTAAGCCTTTAAAAATGCCTTCTATTCTCATTTTATGGACTTACAATCTTAATATTCCAGTGTGAGAGGAAAAAGAATTTATTATTTTTTAAATGGAAAGGAAAATACCAAACTGTTTAACAGCAAGGTAAGTACTATCACCCTAACAGGACAAAAGACTGTGTGCCTAAAACATGTCACATTACTACAAGAAACATCAACAGAGTATAACTTCATCTACTGAATAAAAGCTTTAAGCTGCTCCAAGTCCAGAATGTATTATATAAAAATTTACTGTTTTAATAGATAATCTCTCTAGAGAAGAATAACCTTAACAATTCTTTTCATGTGATTCTGAATACTTAAGTTATTTAACAGGTAGGTAGGCCTTTCCTCATGTTGTACACAAATTATCACCCTGTTCAACATGATGAACCATTACAGTGACAGTTTAAGCAAGTCTGAAATAAATGAAAAAGTGATACACAAATTCATAGACAAAATTATAAAAATGACATTTCAAATGTGGTTAAACTTGATGTTTGCATCCATCCTTTGAATACACCTGTGTCCCTACAGCATGACTTCAGCTGATGTCTCAGACTACATCAGACTGATGAGGCACTAAAGAGTCTGTCAGAAGTACTACAATTTCCATTAGTTTCTACATGGTAGAAATGTGCCTTTCCTAACTCCTTCAGCCCTAAGGGGAAAGGAATCTCAAATCTGCTCCACAACTAACCATGTAACACAGTGCTAGGAAGTACCAACAAAACTTCTGGACTGACCTGAGCAAATCCTTGAGGTCCAATTGCCCTTGCAGGCCACTGCACTACCTCACCCTTCTTTAGCTACACCTATGTTCAAGCTCCAAGGATAACACTGACTTGCTGGGACACATCATAGCCTCCAAGTAAACCTCAAAATATCTCCACTGGGCAGAGACTTACACCTGAATGTCACAGCCTGTCACGATCATTCCTTCCAACTACTGAACTTGCCCCAGATGCTGCAACTGCTGGTTTCCACTAACATCCATACTGCTTTGTGCTCCTATCCAAATGGGTCCTTACTGCTTTCCAATCCTGACACTGTTAAATTTAACTCTGGCTTAGTACAGCCTCCAATAAGCCAAGTATGCTATAATTTACTGGAGACATGTCTATGTCTATCAAGGAATCTACTTCTAAATTATTTCCTTTGAGTGGAAATTGTCAATTCCTAATTATCTGCAAGTATTTTAACTAAGCTGCTGCTTCTGAGACAATGAAATTTCACACATAATTGGGGGCCAGAATAGTGACTGGCACAAAAAATGCAACATTACACAAAACAGGCTACAGACTTTCAGAATAAACTCAGCTCTGGGAACAATACAGCTGCTTCTGCTCTGTACAAGGCCCAACTTCACAAAGTCCGTGAAACTTTTCATACCAAATCCAATTAGATGTCTCCAAAGTTAAGGCTGCTGACTCAGAAGAAGCAGTGTGCACCAGCTACTAAATGGGCTACTAAACCCTACTACCACAAACTGATGCAGTGCACCTTCCCAGCTCATCTCAATTTTTCCACCTCTTGTTACATCAGATGATGGAGACTTAACAGCAATTTCAGTAAGCCTTCATATCCAAGTCAAAAATGTAAGAAAAACCCATGAGCATAAAGACATTAAAATTCCTGGCACGTCCAAATGTGGGTCAAATGATGCTAAAGGTATCAGTGACTCCCACCTGCTGGTGCACAACAATCTTCCTCCAACTGGTTAACTACATTCTGGGCTATTTACTCCTACAGCACAAAGCAGCAATGTCCCACGCTGTGTTTTCCAAAGGAAGTATGAATGTCAGACATGGACTCCAACCAGTGGAATCAGCAGAAGCCAGATAACAGAGACTGAGTTCCACTGATCTGTAGAAATGTTTTGTGTATCATTAACACAACTCTTCAGGTTTTTTATCTGCATCTGATTTAGGCCCATTTAAGGAAGCTGCTCATATCAACACTAATGAAATCCTACTGGCACCGAAAAACTGCTGCAGTTTGGCATACTATGAGCACATTACCTACACTAAGCTTATCACTAGTATGATTGTACACATATCCTTTTTTTGGCTGAGGACAAAAAGATTTCCTTGCTCTGTCCAAGTTCACATTCTCACCTTGACTCTTTTCCAGCAGAGATGCGATCACAGCTTCATTTTCGATAGGATTCAACGAGCAGGTGGAATATACCATTCTCCCTCCTTCTGCCAGCTGTTCCACACCACGGGTTGCAATTCTCAACTGCAAGCTAATAGAACACTCTTGGTCTAGCCAGGTACCATCCAGGAACCAGAAAGAAGCTATACAGCTGGACTAAGCCAGCACTTACAGAGTTCCACAGCTGTCACCAGTACACAAATTAAAGTCAGTTTTAAACTAAGTCAGCTTAGCGCAGTCTATACTGCAGACACACTCAAAATGACACCTATAAAATTCAAACAGCAATTAGGTCAAACATTACCACTAATGCAGGATAACTTAAAACATAACATTCTGAATTTTGTTCTTTCTAGTGCCCCATCAAATTGATTATAAAGTACTCAACCCTAGAAAAATAACACCCTAAAACCTGACTCTACGCAGAAATTCAAAGTTAAAATGAGAAGCAATCTATTACAAAATATTATGGACAACACAGCCTCCTGAGAAAGGTACCACTGTGTTGGACCACCAACTTATACCCCACCTGGACACTTACAGCTAAAATAAAACATGTAGTTCTAAATGAGTTGCCAAGCAGTAACAAGTTACTGCAGGTCAGCTTAGTCACAGTAACCAACAGCGTTCTCAGCTTGTTACAAACACACAGTAAAATGTTCTAAGCATTTTTATCTCTTTTTCAATTACTGCATTTTACCATGTGCCTGCATTAGGCTAAGTACTCATTCATCATCAGTTAACATAAATCAGTATCAGGTAACTGAAACTGTTTATGTGTGGTCTCTAATATCCTAGACTTTAAAACATTAAATTTTACAAGATATTGTGTTTTCCAACAGTATTTTACCTGACTAAATAGTAAGAATCCCAGCCAAATGATTTGTCCCATTTTCTTACCTACCCTGTCTAAACCAATTCAATGAACATTATCATGTCTGATATTCATAAGAATACAAGCAATTTAGATTCACACACTCCATTCCTCACATCTGAAACCCTACACTTCCTCTGAACAGTGTGTAAGTTCTTGATTTGAGAGAAGTGGCTCTTCCTAGTCTCTGCTTTGTCATATATTAACATGTGAATGCATGCAGATGTTAAAGATGTGGGAAAAGGAGGAGAAAGAAATGAAAAGTGCGGATGTGTAGTAAGCATTTTTTTACCCATGGAGCTGCAAACTGTTTTGTGTTGTCCACTTCTTCCACACATCAATGTTTTTCCTCATGGTTCCATCTCCACTGCAACAGAGGTTGAACAGATTTGTATTATTTGTGAGTAAAACTCATTTCATATCAAAGTCACTCACAGCAGCAAAAAATTAACAGCCCTTCTCCCATGTTAACCAGTTCTCTATGCTGTACTGTGTTTCCTCCCTGTCTTTGCAATTCAGTATCCTAAGGTCAAAATCTGAAGCCCTTCAACTGACCAAATTTAAGTACCACTTGGAATGAAGAAGTTCACCTTGATTTGGTATTCCCACACCTAAGACAGTTTAAGGCATTCACCTGTTTTGGAAGTTATAAATCATAACTCACTAAGCCACTCAAAAAGCTTAACTCTGTAACACACAAAAAATCAGCACTGCACTTAGTGTAGTAAAATCCATGTACCAAAGTTTACATGCAAGGTACCTGCAGGGGACGTCACATAAAATCCTGTCATAGAAGAGGATCTCTTTTCTTCCATCAACATCTATTTGTAGGTTAGGAATGCTGGAGGCATCATGATTTACCACCATGATGCAGGGACTGTTTAATCTCTTAGCCTGATGAACCAGCAAATAGCAGCGCTTGTTGTCGACATCATTAGCAATTACAAACCCCTCTGGGAACATAAAATAGTGGGAAGATGCTTTACTATTCAACAACTAAATAATTTTACACCGTTTATTACCTTATGTTCAAAGATGTGTAAACCCTTCACTAGAGGTTTTTACTTAAGACTGCTTATGAATAGAGGCACCCTTACTGAGCATAGAATAACTTAGAGTATGTTGAGGTTTAACGGATGTGTCCTAGCCTCAGAAGTTCTAACTTCCACAAAGCAGCAGTATGACACAGTCAAGGACCCTTCAACTTCTCCAAGTAAAACCCTCATAACAGAGAAAACCTGCACTGTCACCAAAGACAACCCCTACACCAGGAAATTTTCAGCACAAAAAATCCACACTGTCCCACACCTTTACCATTTCAATGGGCAGTATTTTCTGTGAGCATCTAACTGAGAGCAAAGATTCTCAAGCTTACAAGAAAAGATAAAAATCACAATAATTTTAAGGCTAAAGCAGCTTAATCCAGTGTTTGCAGGATACCACTAAACCACAGGGGCTCATGTACCACCACCTACTAAATATCCTTGATTTATATACAAAAATTAAGCTCCAATCACATGTACTGGAGTCCAAACTGCAATGACTATATATATATTTATGTATAATATACATACATATATAACACACAATCCATCTCTCTCCTTTAAGCCAAAGAAGCCCATGAGGTTTCAAACCAACAGTGGGGTTCTTTTCATCTCTTAGCACTCAACCACTTCAGGAATTCAATATATAGTTACATGCAGTTACTCATTTGTGGTATTAAACATAATCTTCTACAAGAAAAAGCAAAAATTCCAAGTCACAAAAGTTTTTAGTAGTTTTCCAGACTTACTGGGAAAAGGAACATTCATGTCTGCATGCAACATTTCAATGAGTTGTGCAGTCTTAGATCCAGGTGCAGCACACATATCTAGAACCTACAAACACCAGAAAGTTAAAAAAGGTCCTGCCTTGTATTTTTTAAGTATTTGATAAACTTACTATTTGTTCTTGTTTAAATTAAGTATTTTTGCATACACCTGCAGAATTATGACTGTTCTGGACACCAGTTTGAAAAAACAAGTACAGTCCTGTTCTTTGTATGTTTTATCTTTGAGGGTCTAAAGCATAAAAAGGACTTTAGTTTGTTGGGAAGAAATAAATCAGTTGAAATAAAATCTGAAAGAGAAATTTTAATATAGATACAGGGATGTGGCCCTTTCATCAACTCACAAGCAATTCCAACTGAAGTTAACTGGAACTTTACTTATAAACACACATATTCAGGGCAAAGTTACACTCAAGCAATTATCAGTAAATTAATCAGAGACTGTTGATTACATAGATTTTATAAGAATGAACTGCTTTTCCTCCCCACACATATGCATTTTAATGCAAAAAATCAGGGCAGCACAAACCTCTTTCTGTATCCTGGAAAAAGCACTTGGGAAGTGTCTGAACCGCCCTCAGGCAGCCAAACAGCACAGACACCAACACCTGATTTCTAGTGCATTTCTCCCTCCTGGTTCATCACGAACTTGGCGTGAGATCAAGTCATTTATAGGGTAACTTTCACAGCAACACACTTCACATCTAACACTGCCCTCTCAAGTAAGGAAGCTCAGAGTCCTTCCTCTTGTCTGGTTACAGACTTTCAGAAACCTATGTCTATCTCCTGGACCTTTAGCTCCAGTAAAAATTAGCTGAAATCATGCAAGAGGATAAAGGATGGGAACGGATCTGCTCAGATTCTCATGCAAGCCCCTGGCTTGAACAAGACTAAATCAGAAGACAGACCCCAGAGAAATGCCAAAAGCTCTAGAGAGCATGTGGAAAGCACTCTTACTAAATAAGAGTAACAAAGTAACAGTTGTCATGCTGCTGTTTTCTACTTTTGCAGATAATGCAAAGGATAATGAAAAATATACAAGGCTAAACATGCTCTAAAATTGTCCAGCAAACTGATGATAAGAGAAAGCTAAACTGTGACAGATTATAAATGAACACAGCTACAGAGATGTCTGACAGTCACTAAGCTCATCATTGTGCAAGATGAATCAGCATGTAAGACATGACATACAGAACATGCAGCTTCAGCATGAAAAGGAACCTGCAATTCTTGTCATAACAAGGAGCTCAGAAGCTAAGGTACTACGGACCATAAAAGGTCATAAATTATAACCAAGGCATCGTTACAGCAGCTAATTGCTGTCTTGCCACAAGAGAGGATAAAGAACTGATTCTGAGTCTGATTTGTGAAATCTTGCACACATTTCTGGAAAACGCTCGCTGAAATGCAGTCAGCAAAGTTAAACATTCAACACAAAACCTACATACTGCTATCTTACTGTTGGAGAATGGCTAAGAGAGCGGGGACATAATCCTGGGGAAGGCCAAAAAGAGCTAGGCCGCAGTCCCCTGGGAACGTACAGACACAGTCCTGGGAACACACCTGGGAATGCAGTGTGTACAAGCAAGGCTCTGGAGATAGTAACTTATATAGAGATAGGGAGTAACTCAGCTGGGCAGATGGCAGGGGTAACTCGTCCTTGAGGGTGAAACAAACAGGTTCGAGAAAAACAGCTAGGAATGCACCCAAGCCTGGGAAAGCAGGAGATAAGCCTCACAGCTGCAGCTGTGAGTGAGGGGAGTACCTGAATGCTATCTTTAGAGCCTAGCCAATTAAAAGTGATGGATAATTGTACACCTGCTTCTGCACTGTATAAAAAAGAGCCTGTCGGACAATAAAGATGGAGCTTGCTGTATCACCCACACGGAGTCGGCCGCTTGCTTCCCCGCGCAGAACCTTCACCTTTCCCAAAATCTTACCACATGCAATGTGAGTATGGGGCGTGCAGAAATATCCCCACAATTTGTGCTTTACAGTAAGGTGAACATGTTCACTGCCTGTTCAACTCTAGACAAAACTCAGAATGCACCTTGTGACAGATCAAGACCGAGTCCTTCAATTCATTATTCAGCTAAGAGAGATGAGAAGACCCTGCCTCACATAAAGGTTCCATCAGCCCTGTGCATTCTAAGCAAGTGTGCAAGAAAGCACACAACATGGCCTGAGAAAGTAAGGCAACTAGCTCATTAATTTAACCGATTAAGGTCAACTGACAGATTAATTCTGCAAACAAGAGTAGAGTATGAAAACACCACTAAGGTTAGAACAAAGTTTGCTACCAGATACCCCCATTCCTACAGTCTGCCACAAGGAAATATGGGCATTCCTTAGACATCTCACCTAAAATTAACACCCTACAGTGTTCAGCCATCACCACCAACATGTTCCGGTTCACCCAAATTATTTTGCCTTGTAGATGTATAGAACAGAAGTCTGCAACTTCTTCAGAAGGCACAGAAGAGTGCAATCTACCTGGTAGAGAACATTATCGTTTATATCTGGAAAACTACATCCGCTCACAGTGTGATGGAGAATAGGAAGTTAAGGAATAGGAAGTTAAGAACAGTCACCTTAACTTTAACAGCAGGTTGAAATATGAATACATAACTCAGATACAGATAAACACATTTACACTTTGAAATTAAGATTATGCAACTACTTAAGACCTAAGTTGTCTTTCACAGGATACTACACATAGCAGAAAATGCAGATGTTCCATTGACAGCCTGTTTGTGATCTGAACACAAGTGTTGCTATTAATGTGCAGAAAGCATAAGACATATCAACACGAAACAGAACTGTGTATCAGCATTGATAGTGCTATTGTGATTAGTGGTGTAATCAAACTGTCTTCGGGGAAAAAGCTTTTGTACACAGTATATCCTAGAGTTACCTTGTGGTGAGGGCTAACGTTAAGCAGCAGAGGTGGGATCATGCTAACAGCCTCCTGACGGCTGATATTTCCCTTGAAAGGAAAAAAAAGAAATGAAGTTCATTCTTATTCCACAAAAGAATGTGTTTCTTTTGCAAGAAGAGCTTTAAATTGCTATGCAGTGAAATAACAAAGCAGTCAGAAACACACTACTATGAATATATAATTTAATTTTTTTCAGATCTAACAACAAAAACACCCCCAGTATTTTACTCAATTTAACTTCTGATAACTGCATATTTACTCCAATTATAACGATTCTGCAGATGCAGTTTCTGCTCAAAAAAAGACAAGAAACTGGCTTCAACCCAGGGAAAAACATCCATCACTTAAGCTAAGTCTTGTCACGTACACATGTGCAGTTTTTCATAGAATCATAGAATTCTAGGGGTTGGAACAGACCTTACAGATCATCCAGTCCCAATCCCCTCATGCCATCGGCAGGGACACATCCCCACTAGACCAGGTTGCTCAAGGCCTCATCCAGCCTGGCTTTGAACCTGTTTCATGATCTTGCCAGGCACAGAGGTGAAACTGACTGGTCGATAGTTTCCATAGTTTTTACCAGGTCTGAACATCTGGTTTCTAACAGTAACTAGTTATTTTACAGGGACTCATTTTAGCATCCCCAAACAATAACAAAACAAATGCTATTAGCTTAGGAGAAATAGTTAGAGCTGCAGTTATGCACCAAAGTCATAGGACGAATCACCGTCAAGAGCAATATAAAATCCACCTTTTTCTGAGTTATTTAGCTTCAGAGAGAAAAATCACAGTTTGCTCCGGATAACATATTTAAATAAAGCACAGGATACGAAAGAAAAGAGCCCCAAGATCTACCCAAAACTTACACATTCTGTCTCGCTGACCAGAAACTGATGAAACTTTTCCAGTTGTGGTGACTTGCGTAAGATTTTTCTACTCAAGTTAGTGTGCCAAGCTAACTCCTCTGGATACCTGGGGGAAAAGAAATGGGCAAAGGGCAGCGGCAGATGAAAGAGACCGACAGGCTGGGCTGGATGCCCAGGGATCCTTATCACGCCAGGGAGCCTCATCACACTTCCAGCTCACTCACCAGCTCAGCGCCTGGGGCATCTCCACTTTTTGGCCATCCACCTCCAGGTCCTGCAGCTCTCGGAAGTACTTTTCCTTCAAGCAGTGGAGGATCTCTTTGGCATGGCTGCAGGGGAGAGATGCCCAGAGGGACACCGGGCGGAGAATCATAGAATCACTGGTCAGTTTGGGTTAGAAGAGACTTTAAAGACCGCCTTGTTGCGGCCCCGCTGCCATGGGGATGGTATATACACCTCGTG